ACATTGTCCAAGTGATGATCTGTTGTCTGCCGCCGTCCCGAGTATGGTTTATAAGCCCTTGCCAACTGAATTTCAGCCTTTAATGCAAAGTTTATTGCCTGAGACAGAGACCAGACTGTATTCATCTCTAATTTATCTTGTATGGCCTCTTTCAATCCCCCTATGTACCGAGCAACCAAATGGTTAGCACTTTCATTAAGATTATTTCGAGCACTAAGGCGATGAAATTCCTCCATATATCCGCTAACGGATCTACTTCCTTGAGTGCAATGCTGGTACTTATGATAGAGGATATGCTCGTAATCCGTGGACAAGTATTGAGAACGCAGAAGCTGTTTCATTCGGGGCCAGTTACGAACCGCTCCCTGACATTCCCACCTACGAGTCTGCAGAAGTTGCAACCACCATGCACTTGCTCCTCCTTTTAAACGACACGCCACATATTTCACCTGCTTGTCCGGCGGAATGTCCATATACTCAAAAAAAGTTTCTACCGAACGTTCCCAATCGAGATAGTCTTCTATGTGTAAACGGCCATAAAAAAATGGGATGTCGAGCTTCACTCGAAATTCACCTTGTGTTCGGCCATAATAATTCCCACGGCGTCGTCGAGCATACTGAGCTGGTAACGGCTCTTCCTCCGATTCAGACGGCGAATCCGCATACGCATTAATAGGCTCCATTTCCTCTTCTTCTGAATCTGTTAGCTCTGAACTGGGATGCGCTCGTCTTCGTTATTGAACACGATCTTGCTGACGTCTTCTCCGAACTATATTTACTTGCGCTGGTGTCCGATGACGCTGATTCCCCTCCATCTCCGTTGGATGGCCTGAAATTCCCTGCGCATATCCATAGACAACCGAAAAAGATCAGTTGAAATCTTGTCTAACCTCCGATTAAGGTTGTCGTGTCGATCCCAAAGTGCCTCAAGGCTGCGAGCTTCGTCTCCAGCCCCTCGCCTGCTACTTTCCGCCATTTACTCCCAAGCAATCGGGCTCTGATACCAAAACTGATGCAGGTATCGGTGGGAGAAACCATGAAATAGTAAACGAATGGAACAGGGGAAACCCAAGAAGCCGAATTGGCTCTGTTAATAACTTTGTATATTCTTTTCTATCTCCTTGCTCTCTTCTTACAGCTATATATTCATATTCTTCTATAGCCAGAAATGACAACTAAAGTAAAAGTAAAAAGTGTACTGACAGCTAACGGAAAGGAAAACGAGGTAGTGGAGAGCAATTTACTGGAGCAGAAATAAAAAGGTAATAAGGTAGTTAGAGCTAATGCATAAAGTGTAGTAGAGAACTCCCTTTGTCTTAAGATGTTCCGCATCACTAATTGACCAGGTCAACCCAGGTTGACCCATTTGGCCCTTTTGAGCCCAAATCAAATTCCAATCATTTAAAAAAAAAAATTCAAAACCGGTGAATTAAAAGGAAAAATCAGAAAAATTAAAATTAATTTTATTTTATTTTTTAAATCTCTTAGAAACCCGTGAATGTAAAACCAGTTTCTAAAGAGTTTTTTTTTTTTTTTTTTTGAACGGTGTATGCAATCCTTTTTTTGGGACATTTAGGCCATTTAAGTTTTTTTCTTCATTTATATATGTGATGAGTTAGCATATTTGAATTGGCATACATGATCCTTGTTTAAGACACTACGAGAAAATGCGAGATTACTGTCGGAGCTTCCGACATATATATATATATATATATATATATATATGTGGGTGTTAAGGAAAAATAATATGAGCCAAAAAAAAAAAGCGAGCAGTGCAATGAACCTGAGGACACTCATTGTAAGTAGGTAAAGTATATGACTCATCATATCGTGGGCTGACTATCTGTGCGACCAAATTTGTTTCGCCAATAATATTTAAATTACCTGAAAATTTAAGATGCTAGGGCATTGAAATATCATAATTCCTTTAAAAAATCTATTCATGATGGATTAAAAGAAGCCAAATTGACATTATGGAAAAGAATGATAAGAAAAATACCTTTATCCATGAATCCATCACCTCTGACATCCAAATGCAGAATGGAGATAGCGCCTTCTATGTTGTCCTTTTGGGCATTAGCATCAAAAGTTACTTCCACAATGTGACTCGACTCGCTATCTTTAAACTCAGTCAAAGAGTTATCTTTGTCATATGGGGGGAAGAGGAAGACTTCAAGCTTGACGGATTCATATTCAGAGGCCTCTAATAGGCAGTCACACTCCTTCATCATGTTGTCTAAGTCTTCATCAGATGTGATGGAGATGAGGCTGTGGAGGTCTTGAACAAAAAGTTTGTAGCAGATAACGACAGGGCCACCATATGTATCTTCCATCTTGCAATAAAATTCATGCAGTGTAATATCATGAGGGGAGACCATTATACGTGTTCGTCCTCCCACATAGTGTAGGACGCCGTCACTAAGACATGGCATGACCTTGCCACCGAATTTGCAGCAGAGTTTTGCCTTGCGGGGTGATTGGAGGTTAGCTATATGTGGGATGGTGGTGGAAGAGGGGTTTCGGTTAATGTTTAAGGGGCCAACAATCATTGGAAAGAAAGGGTATTTGGAGGTGGGAGAATTGGAATAGCTGCAAGGAAGATGAAATGGAGATGAGAGTAACTTGATTGAAGGCTCATGCAAATATTTCTGAAAAGATTGCAGGAGCCTGTTCATTTCTACGGTGGAAGTGGATTTCATATAAAATAGATCTATTTTAATGATGACCCAATTGCTAATTTATCATATTCTAGAATTTAAAATTAAAAAATAAAAGAGAACTTATACAAAATAATTACAATGTAATTATTATCTTGTGATAATATGGGGTTTGATCCAATTGTCTAGATTTCCTACCTTAATGTTTTGATCACCAAGGCTTCGTTTTGGACATATTTCTTATTATTTTGCTTTTCAAAACGTAATAATAAATTTGATTTGTCCACTACTTTTTCATTGCTTTTGAAAAATTTCTCTCTATAGAAGGAGGTAGGAAGCTGATTTCTACAATAGTTTTATGATTGGGGTTTAACGATTAAGGTTTGTCAATAGACTCCTATGATGCCCTCTTTAATTTGAACGATAGGATATCAAAATATGAAAATTATAAAATCAGCTTGCTATTGCAAGCTATTGCAATTTCTATAGCCACACGAGCCATTCCTCTACTCATAGTCCAATTATTTGTAGCGTTATGGGCAGATTCGTATCAATCTATTTTAGATTTACTGTTTATACTTCTTCTATCTATGCTTATTGCATACTAAAACATTTTGCTGAAACCTCTTAAGACAAAATAATAATAAAAAAAAAAAGATGATGCCTATAAATTTTATTGCTGAAACCACTTAACATCTCTTTGATTCATTGTTTTTTAAGTTGGTACATTGGAATTGATTTGTTAGTCCTTCCAAGTTCTGCTTTGTACTTTATACCAATATTGGGTTATGATATGGAACGTTTGGTATTGCTTTTGTTACCATTGCTAATGATATTGGGTTCAATTTCTGCCACTTGAAATCAGCCCGAAAATTTTGAACTATAACTAGTCTCCCAAATTCCGCCCTGGTTTCTCAAATAATCAAATAGGCCAAGATCTTATGAGAAACCTTGAGTAATCTTGGAGTTGTGAATTATAACTCCCTATCCAATTAGTTGCACTGTTTTTAGGCATACAGATTCTGCGCACGCCTCAAGGATATTTTTTAACTCAATCTCATTATGCACGAGACATCATCTCTGCTTCCGGCTTCACAAACTGCAAGGCAACGCTCACCCCAATGTCACTCAAGCCATCTACCTGCTCCATGGCCGCTCAGCAATTCAGCAATCCAACACTATATCAAAAATTGGTCGGCTCACTACAGTATCTCATCATCACGCGATCAGACATTGCCTTCTCCACAAATCGCATTTGTCAATCAATGCACAATCCAACCTATAGCAACTTGTAAGCTTTGAAGCGTTTCCTCCAATACATACAAGGCACCATTCATTACGGGCTACCAATACAACCCGGCGATCTCACACTACAAACTTATGTTGATGTTGACTGAACTGCTGATCCATCCGACCAAAAAGTCCATCACAGGGTTTAAAAAAAAAAAAAATAGCGAATGAACAATGCGACGTTGTTGACCCGCAATCTAATAGCTGCATTTTTACCTATCGGATAGAGGGACGGAAGAACGCCATACATTTCTATGACGTTCAGCTAGAGATGCTCTTAGTCGATCAACCAGCGGACATCCATACCAAGCCATTGTCCCCTATGTTTCAATATATTCATAAACAGTGTAATCACAATTGATATGAAACATACAAAAACTGTGGCCGCTGTAATGTCCTGTTCTTCTTCTTCAATCTCCTATTAGTTTCCCTACTCTATCACAATAGACCTTTTTTTTAGATATATTTCATAAAAACCAGATAGCCTAAGCCCTGGCTTTATAGGTGTCCATAGATACAAACAACAGCAACAGCCATGCGCACCAAAGATTCACTGCTCGGTTTCACATAAGAGCCAAAAAGTTTCATCCTAGACCAGAGAATTCTCTATTTGATAGCCTAAAACTTAATGCGCCGGATGGTTCAAAGGCCAACTAGAACGCGTCAAATCACCCGGTACCTAGCACCGATACCGAGCAAAAAAGTGATGGGCGCGTTCTGATTGGCATCCAAACGACATCCGATGTCCGCACAGGATAATTTATCCTAAGCTAGAGACTACAAATCATCATACCCCAAATTTTTTTTTTTTTTTACATTTAGACAAATTAAGACAAATTCACATACACATCACATATGCAAGACTCGAACCATACCTCCTAATTGATAATAAAAGTTCACAACCAACGGACTAAAGTGAGCTACATATAACCCTAAAATTTCATACATTAAAACAAATGACTATAGAAAAAAAAACAATAGTAACGGTCAAATACATCATAAATACAAAACTAACCTATAACATAACATAGGCCAATATAGATTAAGGATTTCCTTAAATGTGTTATTCAGTACAAACAAAGAAAATTCATTCCATATCTACTAAACATTATATCATTGTGGTGCATCCATTAGATAGATAAAAATGAAATGAATTATATATTTTAATAATGTATTATTTATTATAAGTAGTAAAACAATGCTCCAACACATTTCTCTCATCTCTTATCCACTTTTCCTTCTCAGCCTAAGAAATTTTGGCTCAGCACTTGCTTGGAGCAACAATAGGAAACCTGGAGGCGTGAGTTGATGGTGCTGGACCGTAGCTAACGGTTGTCACCGGCGGGAAGAATTGGGCGGGGGCGGAGGGGATGGCGACGCCGGCCATGCTATGAGGCAAGTGATGGTTGTGATTGAATTCGTATATCGGATGGTATATCGGTGTCATGGCGACCGGAGCGATCAAACCTCCCTGAGTTGCATATGAGAATTGGCCTGGGAGATATGCTCCTCTAGCATCAGAATGGCTTACTTTCTGCACAATTCAACCAAATTATTTTTAGAAACTTTAACATATCTTGTTAACTAACAAAGACCAGACCCATAAACATTCACTTCAATTAGTTTCTTAATTTGCTCATCTAATAAAGAACCAAACAAGCATGGCTGATCAATTTTAATATTTCCTTCTAACTAATTACAGGATGAGACATCTTTTAAGGAAAAAATGGCTTATAGATTTTAATTGACTTTTTTAAATTACTAACTTTATTTTAAAATATGATAATATAAACGTAGGTGCAAGATAAGACGGAGAATATCTGAAATCAAAAGAAAAAATTTATTAAGTTGAATAATAAAAGCCCCGCACTATACATGAGATGGTTATATACCTGTTGCATGCTAGAATATACGCGGCAGTAGACTTTATTTTAAAATAACATAATATAAACTTTAATTGATTTTTTTTCATATTAAATTTACTTAAATAAATAAAAATGTTCTATTTTTCCATATTAATATATCTAATATTGTTGCATCTTACCCATATCGAATGCAAAAAATAATTACCTTCTCAATATTGCTAAATTTACTCTTAGCCTAAAAATATTTGGCACAAACTTCAAATTCTTAATAAACGACGAAAATGATGGCAATATGAAATGTACGAATGAAATTGTAAGTCTAAAGCTTTGTTTGGGACGACTTTCTTACAGCTTATTAAAGCATTTCTTTAGTATAAAATTTTTAATTTTTTTACTAAAAAAATTGTTTTAAGAATCAGTAAGAAAGCCATAAAAAATGAAGCCTAAAATTTCGTTTGGGGCAGCTTTCTTATTGCATGTCAAAGCAACTTTTTAGTACAAAAATTTTCATTCGTATTAAAAATGAAAGTTTCTGAACTAAAAAGTTGCTTTGAGATGCAGCAAAATAGCTATCCCAAACAAAGCCTAAGATTAGGAAAAAAACAACTTACGGTCGTGTAACCCATATTCGTAGGTGCAAGATAAGACGGAGAATATCTGAAATCAAAAGAAAAACTTTATTAAGTTAAATAATAAAAGCCCCGCACCATACATGATATGGTTATATACCTTAGGGGTGTCAATTCGGGTCAACGGGTCAGGTTCGGGTCGAACCCGAAACTGACCCGGCACTGTTCGGGTCAACCCGAGCATTTTTCGGGTCAAAATCGGGTCAAAAACGGGTCAAACTCGGATTTTCGGGTCAAATCTGAATTTTCGTGTCACTTTCGGGTCAATTTCGTGTTTCCGTGTCAACCCGAACCCGACCCGATTTTTAAAACGGGTTGATTTCTTCAACCCGAACCAGACCCGTTTCGGGTTTGGGTTGACCCAAACCCGGATTTTTCCGGGTCGGGTTCGGGTCGTGTTTCGTGTCGTGTCAAAAATTGACACCCCTAATATACCTAACATAATTTTAGTTGCTTTGAGATGCAGCAAAATAGCTATCCCAAACAAAGCCTAAGATTAGGAAAAAAACAACTTACGGTCGTGTAACCCATATTCGTAGGTGCAAGATAAGACGGAGAATATCTGAAATCAAAAGAAAAACTTTATTAAGTTGAATAATAAAAGCCCCGCACTATACATGATATGGTTATAAACCTACTATAATTTTCAATTCTTTCTTTTTGTACAAAAATTGATTAGCATGCCAATCTCTTGAGTCTCATGTATTCAATATTTTAAAAATCAAATTGAAAATTGATTTATAAGAATAAGAAGTTTAAGGTTTAAAGGTTCAACCCAACCTAGGGTTGAATCAAAGGATATAATAAATATTAAAATTATTTTAATTTAATATAAATGATATATTAATGATACAATTATGATATTTTCACTAATAAAATATATAACATTTTAAATCAAGACATCTCATTGAATATCATGAATATAATTTTAAATAAAACCTATGGAAAATAATATTTTGACTATTTATAAGATATTCAACTTCGAATATTAAAAATATTAAACTCAAAAATAAAAATCAAAGAAAGATTGAACTTGCTGGAACTTGAAGATATTTATTTCTTTTTCATAACAAATTTTTTAATTATAAAATTAATTTTGAGATGAGAGAAATAAATTAAAATATATCTAAATTAATACATATTTTATTTTCCTTAGACAATTCTTAGAGCTTTAATTAAAATCAAGCAAAACAAATTAACACATAATCAACTTGACTCACTTACACTTCTAGTATTTTGAAATGAAAAAAAAGAGATATTTGGTTGTAGATGTCCTTATATACTCAAATAGAAGCTATGTAAAAAGAAAAAAAAAATTAAGGGGTATTTATATGCATAATTACAAAAAACAGATATTTATATATAAAATATTTAACTTTTTAGATTTACTTATGTATATTTTTTAATATCTCAATCAAAATAAAGTATACATAAAAATATTTTATTTTAAATAAGTTAATATTTGTAATGTCTTTTAAATATCTAACTGTTATATAAAAAATAAATTTTATTTTTAACATTATTATTTTTTATGCAGCTTATTCAATATGTTGGTGGGAGCTTACGATCTCACTCAAAAGATCTTAAATTCAAGATCTCTCGTTTTATTGATTTCTTTTTTTTTTTATTAATTTTGACGAGATCCGATTCAATTAATTTATTTGGTGAAAAATCAGGGCAACTATTCCTTAATAATAATTAGATTTATTCTAAGATGATTATAAAAGAAAATTTAATTTAATTGATTATTTATATATATAAATTTATTTTAAAATAAATTTAAAAATTTTAAATTACTCTAATTTATTAATTTTGACGAGATCCGATTCAATTAATTTCGCCATTTGAGAAGCTATATGACAGAGAGAGAGTACCCATAGGCTGTGGTGTAGAACGGGAGGGCACCAGCTGGATAGTGCTGGTGGAAAGCAGGCATCGTCGGCGACGAAGGAGGTTTGCCGGCGGGAAAGTACCAAGGAACCACCGCCGCCGCCGCTGCTGGCCTCACAGCTGCCGCCGGTGTAGCTGGTGGCGAGATCTTTACGACCCCAACGCGCCTCGCTCCAAGAGAAGCGAGGTTACAATTACCCTTTCTTCCATTGATGACCGGTGCCGAATCCTCGCACGCCTTCTTCGCCGCCTCCGCCTCCTTAAACGTCACCTAAAGGCCACAACCGCCAATCATATATCAGAAAAAAAAATAAAAATCTAACAAGAGAAAATTGAGGCAAGGGAAGGTTATTATTACGAATCCATAGCCCTTTGAACGGCCGGTGAGCTTATCGGTGATGATGACGGCTTCGATTATATCGCCAAACTTGCGGAAGTAATCGCGGAGCACCTCCGTTTGTGTTTCCCATGCGAGCCCTCCAACGAATACCTTTGTCAAAGCGGTGTCCGCCGGCGATGAAGGCTGTGGCTGCTGCTGGCCTTCCATGATTTCGAACCTTGGACCCTTTTCTTTCTTTAGGGTCTTCTTCTTCTTCTTTCTGTTTAATTTCTACGAGGGTATTATATGATGAAAGGAGAACGTGTTGCCATGATTATGTTAGTAGTTGAAGTCTGATTGTACGAGAGAAGACATGGAGGGAGGTGGAAGAAGGAGGGATCGGAAAGGACAGAAAAAGGGAAGGGGAAGGAGTCAGGGACAGCTGGGAAATGCTAAGCTCAGTTGCCGGCTCTCATCAAAGTGTCGAGGAAAAGAAATGGTCGTTCAGCTTTTGTAAGCTTATTTTGCGCAGGAAAGTTATAGGGTAGAAATAAGCTTCATTCTTATTTAATAAAATAAGCTAAAATTTATTAATTAAGAGGGATATTAATGTACAATTGGAGAACTAGATCTAGTAGAGGACATGGTGTTTTTAATTAAAAAAAAAATCAGAAGAAAAAAAATAATAACAGGGCTCTCCTCACTAAAAATAATAGCAAGAATAATTAAGATTCAAATTTATCTTACAAAGTAATATTAGCCATCAATGCGTTGTTCCCAAAATAGTATGCAACGACGCTTGATCAATTTAGTGAGATTACGTGTTAATCGGTATCAATTTGTACATAGTCAATCTCATGTAATTTCAATTATTCTTTAGTGAAGTTTTGTACTAGGTTTGACCATGTAAGTTTATTCTTCTTTTTTATTTTTTTACTTGGGCACCTTTCCTTAGACAATGTAACTAATCATCAAAAGACTAAGGTTGTTGAACTGCATCGTACCGAGCTTCTCTGCTTCTTCAATTCCTGCACCTGCAAAGCTTAGCTCTACCGTGAGATTAGAGAAGACAAGAGAGAGGAAGTGATTCTCATGTTTTTGTTTCATTGCCCTGAGCTTCGGCTCATTACATGATATAAATGCATGAAAGCTACAACAACGGTGTAGATTGAACAATTACAAATCAACGGATATGATTTAACCATCAGGATAAAACGAGTGTGCTCAGCCACAGAGGAATAGTGGGCATGTGGAAAGGAGCAAGTTCTATTATAAGTTGGCTTGCTTATCACCCTCTGCAAGCTAACATTTGCTTCTGAAATATTAAGCTTGTCTCATAACAGTTGGAAACGATGAATAGATAAGGACTTAGTAAACAAGTCAGCATGCTGATCAGTTGTATGATTTTGTGATATAATAAGCACCTTATTTTTAATGCATTAACAGACAAAGTGAAAATCAATTTTAATGTACTTAGTCTAGACATGAAAAATATGATTGTTTGCAAGAGCTATAGAGGAAATGTTATCACATAGTAATATTGTAGGTTGAAAGCAGGGAATTTGAAATTGTAGAAGTCGATGATGCCAAATAATATTCGTAGTTGTAGTAGAAAGTGCATGGTAATATGCATCGTAGATGAATGAGCAACAATTTTCTATTTTTTTTATCTGCCAGGAAATGAGATTGGTGCCAATAAAGACATATTAGCCAGTGGTGTATTTGCAATCAAGAGGATCGCTAGCCCAATCTGAATTTGAATAAGCATGTAAACTAAATGTGGTGGGAGTGATCAGGATTCCAGAGGAAAGAATACCTTTAAGATACCAAAGAAGGTGTTTGAGGAGTTTTAAATCTTGCTCTTGTTGACTGTGCATATGCTGACACAACTTATTAATAGTATACGCAATATCTAGGAATGTGATAGTTAAGTACTAAAAAGACTTAACTAGATGTTGAAAATCATCTGCAACTGCCGAAAGAAGATCAGTAACATGTCTAGTAATCTCCATTGGTAATTTTGATGGAATTGGGGAAGAAATGGACTTGCAATTAGACATGCCAAACCGATAAAGTATTTGAGCAACATATGTAGCTTGAGATAAGTATAGCCTATGTAATGAGTGTGAAACTTGAATACCAAGAATGTATAAAATTATGCTAAGAATTTTCATCTAAAAATGATTGGAGATAGCGATTAACAGATGACTTATGGTGTTTGTATCATTTTTTGTAAGTAATATGTCATCGACGTATGTAAAGTGTAACATATTGTTTGTGATATATCAAAAGTGACGGATTAGTCGTACTATGGGTGAAACCATAAGTGAGTAAGTATGTGGAGAATGTCTCAAACCATTGTTTAGGTGATTTTTTTAACACATAGATAGATTTTTGTAGAAGACAAACATAATCAAGATGCAATGAGTCTTTAAAACCATGAGGTTGACTCATATAAATTATATCTTTGATTTCTCCCTGAAGAAATGCGTTTAAGATGTCAAGTTGTAAAATTTTCCACTTGAATGATGTTGCAACCATGAGGAAAATACAAAGAGTAGTTAGTTTTGCAACAGGAATAAATGTGTAGAGATAATCTAATATGAATTGCTGATTGCAACCAAGTGTTACTAGCCAAAGCTTTATATCGTACAATAGTACCATCATTGTTTAATTTAGTCTTGTATATCTATTTAAATCCTAAGGCATGTTGAGAGGAATTAGGAGGAACTAATCTCCAAGTTATTTGCTATTGAAGAGAAACACTTGGTTGACAGCTTTAGTATGACGTTGGATCAAGAGGTATAGGATTAGTATGCATATTAATAATTTGCTTAGGTTTAAGTGTCCCTGTCCAAAGACGAGTTATCATGGGATGTGTAGAGATATTTGGAGGTGGAGCTAGTTCAAGCAGTGGACTAGAGGATGAATTGGAAATTAAAGGTTGGAGACATTTTGGTGGAGAAGATATTGAATTAGTGGCAGACGTGGATTGAGATAGTTTTTACTGAGGTGAAATAGAGTGGAATCCAAAACTGTTGTGAAAGGAAGAAGTAGGGAGATTAGTTGATATGAGATATTTGTCTATATGTATAATAGATGAACTGAACATATAGGAAGGAGTATAGGAGGTGGAGGGAATGGAGTGAGAAGGAGCATAAGTGCGTTGTTGTGAGAAGGGAAAAATATATTCAAGAAATTTTGCATGATAAGAAGCAAAAATTTTATTTGATTCAATGTGAAAACATAAATATCCTTTAGTATGAGAGGAAAAACCTATGAAGACGCAAGGTAAGGATTTGGACTGGCATCTATTTGGAAATATCTAAGGTAGAACAGGATAGCAAAGGCAGACGAATGTTTTTAGGGAGGTGTAATTTAGTGGTTGTTTGAAGAGTAACTGAAATGGGGAAAGAGATTTCATGGAGAGAGATGGTAGGCGATTGATTATATGGACAGCGATGAGAACAACATGTAACTAGAATTTGTGTGGTAATGTTGCTTCATGAAGTAGAGCACATGTAGTTTCAAGGATATGCAGATGATTGTGTTCAGTGACATCATTTTTTTAGGTGTATATGGACAAGTGACTTGATGTATAATTCCACAATTAGCAAGAAATGTTTGGAATGGTTTGGACAAGTAATCACCTTCATCGTCTGATCGTAGATATTTAATAGGTTTGTTAAATTATCTCTAAATGAGCAATTTAAATTAATAAAATGCAGAGGGAACATCTGATTTTTCTTTTAATGGATAAGGCCATGTAAAACAAGAGAAATCATTAATAAACAAAACATAATATTTATAACCATATAAAGATAGGATAGGGGAAGGTTCCTATACATCACATTGAACTAAATCTAAAACTGAGATGGACCTAAAGGAAGAAGTGGTAAAAGGTAACTTGTGACTTCTTGAAACTTCACAAGATTTATAATGAAGAGGTTTAGAGCTAATAAATAAAGTAGAACTAACTGATTTAGGTAATTTGAGGAGAACTTGATGTGAAGGATGCCCAAGCATCGATGCCAAAGCTGATGTGTTGGAGATGCTGCATAAGGGCATAATGTGATGTGGAATGGACTGGATCAGTAGGAATGGAGTAGAGACCTCGACGATATCAACCTTGAAGGAGTTTGGTTGAACTTCAAATCCTTTATTTTGTAACCAGAAGAATCAAAGAGAATTGAATAAGAATTATTAGTAGTTAGATAATTTACTGATAAAAGGTTTTGAGTTAGTTGAGGAATAATATGAAGAGAAGATAGATGACGCTTGCAGTGAGGGGTTGCAATAAGCCTTTATCAGTATGAGTTATTGGAAGTGGATCGCCATTTCTAATTAGAACTTGCTAATTTCCTATATATGGTTTCAGATTTGATACATGAGTAGAATCTGAAGAAGTGTGAAGTAGCACCGATATCGAGTAACCAATCAGTTGAGTGTTGGGATGTATCAACAGAGTAAGAGGAGACACTGGGCAGTTGGTAAGAGAATTTTCCATAATACCAAAACTTGAAGGCGGTGTGGCCAAATTTTCCATTCAATTAAATTCTTAGATGGACTAGGACCTCATCCATATGATGGGTGACCACTGGGAGCACCGAGAGAATTAACGGCCATGAAATCCACAACCAAGAGATCAATCACATTGAACAGCAAATTCCGAAATATGTTTAGAAGTTGTAGAAGAAACCGACATGTCTCAAATGGATTCAGCTGCCAAACACTACAAAGTAGTGCACAAAAATCAACCAAACTGATAGAATTTTAGTTTATTTGGATGGTTGTTTTGAAAGGTCGATAATAAGTTGGCAATCCATTCAAAGTATGTAAGATAATGTCTTCAATAGGCAATGGAGAACTGGAGGATCCAATAGCATTGACCTTGCTCTTAATTTTAGAGAGATATTGCATCATTGGTTTGTCTTTCATGAAATTGTGGTGTAGTTCATTTTTGCGTTGAAGGATGCAAGAGCAATTTGTGGGTTGCAAAACGATGTTTAATGGTGTGCGATATCTCAAAACAAGAGTCAAGATTAAGGACATATGGAAGAAACATCATAGAAATAATATAATACAAAACAACAGCAAGGTTCTAATATATTAAACACCAAGTTGAGTGTTCAGGTATAGATAATTTTTGGCGATTTGGATGTAGAACAATCCAAACCATTAAAAATGTTTGCTGTGAACAACTTTAGGATTTGAGATTTACAAAGAGGGTGATTTTCTATAGGTTGTTGAATATTGAGTACTGATTTTATTTTTTTCATTCAAAATTTAAGCTGTGACGACATCTGCCATTTTGACAATAGTTAGGGTTTAAGAAGAGGTAGAAGATTGTGAGGGAATATCTATACAGGAAACATAAGTAAGGAATTAATAGTCATATATGATTCTTAAACCATCAAGCCTAGTGGCTCTGATACCATGTTCAACTGCATCGTACCGAGCTTCTCTGCTTCTTCAATTCCTACAGTTGCAAATCTTAGTTCTACCATGAGATTAG